AAGGGGTGGAATACCCATTTTTTTTCCTCCCCCCATTCTACCCTCCCTTTTTTTTCAATAAAAAAACGCCCCCAACCCACAAAAACATGGATGAGAAAAAGTGCTCCCCCTCATGAGCCCCTTAAGCCCTGATATAGTCTAGGCATCTAGAAGTTAAATGTCAAACCCTGGACCCAATCAGTCCCATGCCTCGACCCCCAGTTTTAGGTACCAGAGCTGGAGGGAGCTGTTGGCTGTCCTCACATGGCCCTTCTGCTTGGTCCCCAGTGTACAGATTCGGTGCCAGTTGCAAGCCGTGTACCTCAGCACCAATGTCGCCACCCAGAGCTGAGGTGACAGGTGTCTTTCCTCACCCGAGAGCTGTCACATCTGTCCCAGTGTAAGCACACAGGTATGTCAGACGCCTCTCCTCACCAGGTCTGTCACCTCTGTTCCACATTGGAGGGCCCCAGAGCTGAGGTGACATTTGACTCAGTTCAGTGAGGCCCTAAGGTCTGTGTCAGAATGTATTGACCCAGAGATGAAGTGACAAGTGACTGTCTTCACCTGATCCCTCATGCTTGTGCCTCATTGTAGGTACCCGGACCGGAGGTAACAGCTGAATGTCTCTACCGGGGACCTCATGCCTCTTCCCCATTGCAGGCTCCCAGAGCTGACATGACAGCTGGCTGTCCCCATCAGCACTTTCACCCATTTCTCCCTCATAGGCACCCAGAGGTCAGGTGACACTTGGGTGTCCTCCCCAGGGTCCTCACATTTATGCCCCAGTGTAGCACCCAGATCCATGTCATAGCGGATACACCCAGAGCAGGATCAGATGGGGAGGTCCCCACAGTCCCTCCTCCCTGCTCACACACGGTCATCATGTGCTGGGGGCCTGGGAGGAGCTGGGGGCCCCCTCCATGGCCCCTGCTGCTGCCCCTACTCGGATCCTCACACTTCTTAGAGGGGTCCCCTCGGTGATGCCATGCCAGCACCTTCCCCAGGGAAGGACTACCCCTAGCACACAGATCTGCTAGGCCCCTTAAAGTCTGTAAAGTTTTTTGGGGGGGCTCTGTGAAAGGGCTCTGAGCATGAAGACCCCCGCGGGGTTAGGAAGGGCCCCTGCACCTTTGCTTATCTGCTTTTGCCCCCAAGGCTTTGATGTCCTCAGGTCTGTATTTTGAGGATTTGGGTTTCAGGAGTGCAGGCCAGGGCGGGTGGGGATTTTCCGCGAGCCGGCAGGGTTGACAGCGCCCTCTGGTGGTAAGCAGGGGGAAGGCGTGGCTGCGTCTTCAGGGATTGGCTCTGCACCATTCAGGTCACCATCTGGGGGTTCATTGCTCTTTGTGCCATCCTGGGCCTTTTGCAAAGCCTCCTCTACCCCCATCGCGGCCACGTGACTGCACCTCAGAGTCAAGGGTAAGACCCTCTGTAGCCACACCGGAGCCAAAGGGTTACAGGGAGCCTGAGTCCCTAGGATGGCCCATTGCCCCTTTTCCAGGGCACAGGGGTGAGGACCAAGGTCATGGCCCCTGGCCAAAGCCTGGCCTCCAATCTTGTCCACATGGAGCCTTCTCAGGTGCTCTGCGTGGACCTAACGGTCCACACTCAGCTTTGAAAAGCCACCTTACTTAAGGGTCTGTGACCTGTCCCTGTCCCATAAAGCTCCTTTCCCTATTCAATGGGGTCCAGGTGAACTTCTCTCCCTCCTCCCACATCCTGGAGGTGCCGCCTCCCATGGTGAGATGGAGGAGATGGGGAGAGAAGGAATGGTGCCCAGAGATGGTTTGTATATGCTGTGTATGTGTGGGGTGATGCGCCATCCTCGCTTGTGGGATGGCAATAGGCTGATCCACAATGTGAATTTCTTCCTCTATATATTGCTTCTGCAGAGACCTAAGCAGAGCCTCAGTTCATCCCTCCTACCTGGCGCTCCACCTGTCAAACTGCATGGGACTCCCAACTGCTGCCATCCCAGCCCAGGGGGACTGTGCAGGAGTAAGAAGTTGGCTTTCAATGGCAGACCAAGGATGGTGGGAGGAAAGAGCCCCAGGCAATTGCTTCCCAAGCAGGGGTGGGGGACAGAGGGAGCACAGGCCA